ACACGACAATTTGAAGTCGAGTCGCTTGGCTCTTCGATTTCTTAAGGATCAAAATAATTCAAATAGTTGGAGCAAAGAAACAAAATCTTAATTATATTTAGTAAACCGTCAAAATAGAAAACTCTAGTACCCTTTTTAGATATTGTTTTTAGATATTTTCAATCCATAACACATATTTAAAACCGTCAATCTATACTAAATGTGTTATAGATTAAAAATCTTCGATCCTGGATTAAGATGATTATTTTTTTCATCTATTAAATTTTTTATTGTCGTCTTTTCTTCTAGTCAAATCAAACAATCACTGAAAATAATTATAATTAACTATGTTAGATAACTATATTTCAATAATAGTTAATTACGTATGTTATTCTTTTCATTATATAAATTATAATAGCTAACTATAATATGTAATTCCGTTAATAATTAACTACAATATGTATGTTATTTTTTTATTATACAAACTATAATAGTTAACTACGTTCTCAATGTAATTAACTTGTTCATGTAAACAAGTAACTATTACAACAACATTTTTATGTAATCAACTATGTTATGAAATCGGTAGAGTAGACAACTACGTTTTAAAAATAGTTAACAATGCTTTTAAATTGATAATTATTTTCTAGAAAATAGTTAACTATATTTTAAATTACTACAAAATAGTGTAAAGTAGCTAACTATTTTCTAAAATAAGTAATTTTTAAAATAGTCAGTTATGTTATTAAATAGTTAACTGTTACAATATATTTGCTTTATTGTCATATTTATCCAATTTTTATTTTGTTCGTAAATAAGATCAAAAGATATATACAAGACAAATTTTTTAGAGACGAGAAAAATATAATTTTTTGGGATTTTTTTCATACTTACTTTAATTACATATGTAAGAGCAATTTCGTCTTAATTTTTTTTTGCTATGTACTTAATTATAATTTTTGTCATATTATTTATCTAATTTTATCTTTTAAAAGTGATATTCTATTAATTAACCCATAAATCAATGTATAAAATAAAATAAGGAAATCAAGACAATTCTATACGCAATATTTAGATATCGTATATATTCTTTTTCCATTTCTACTTGTATATATAGACTAAATAGTTATAAGGTGTGATTGGTGAATATTAGAGGAATTGAGAGAAATTGAGACGAATGTAATAAAAAAAAATTGATAATTAGAATAATTGATAAGAATATAGAAAAGAAGAAAAAGTTAATTTAAGAATAAGTGAATAAATTAATATATTGTCCTCTTTCTTTAAAAAGTTAAAAGTTAATAAAAAAAGTTGTACTTGAGTAACCAATAGATCTATTTATTGGTAAGTTATAAGTTTTTTTAATATTAAAGTTGTCACAAAACCGAAAAAAAAGAAATATTTTTTTTTATGTTTTTTCTTTCCTTCTTGATTGGTATAAAACTTGAAAATCATGGAAGAA